AAAGGTTACTAACGAATTATAACATTTTTTTAATTCATCATTGACAATTTAAGTAACCTTATAAACAATACTTTTTATGAGAAGTGAAAAGAATATATAACATTTATCAATAACGTTGATTTGATTAAGTTGTGATTTGATTCTGAGAGTAAACTCCTACTTAAATGTACATTTGCATTTGATCTTTGACTTAATGCGTATAAATATGCATTCTCCTTTGAGATAACAAGTTGTCATTCGATTTTGATAGATATATTTTATTGCACAAAGGATATAAATTGTAATGATTATTCTATAAAATCAATTGCTCAAAAATACTGATCTGGGATCTCAAGTGTGGGAAGGTTGTTGTACAACTGTGGATAATGAAATCATCAAGATTGTCCGGTAGGCATTACTAGAATTGAAAGCATTAATTAAACATTTCACTTCGCGTATCCAGCTCCTATTTAACACGGCTGGGTGGTTTTGGCCATTTTAAGACTATATTGGTTCCCTTAATAGAAGAGCTTATAGACTTTATTTATAAATTAAAATGTATGATTTTCTTTCTTTTCCTAATGATAATTGACAGCAAAAGATATCATACATGCACATGCAAAAATAATTTAGTATCTGACGGTTTATTTGTTGACACATCCCCCCGCTTTCTTTTAAAAAAAGTTCAGATTACGTAATTTATTTCAATGTCTAATTCAAATCCCATATCATTTAAAAAAATATTTGTTGACTTATCGCACATGTTCAATCGTTTGTCATTATTTGTCAAATTCCTTAATTTATTTGAATACTTAAAATTTGATGAAATTTGTTCGATGTTATATCTTTTTATTTGACGTCATGAGTAATCAAAATTTAATTTTTAAATCCAAAACACTATTTTTTTTTTAGATATCATGATTTATTTAAAACAGGAAGTTTTCCAGGCCTTTTTACGATTTTGATATTTTACATGCCAGGAAACCGTCAGAACCGGTGCCAATACGTCCGCCTCCAACCAGAGGCGGCATCTGTTGATATCTTGCGAATCGAATTAAATTTCAAAGTCAGATGTTATCAATAGTACAACACCTTAAGTATTTACTTATATCGTTTTTATGGTTCATTAAAATAGCAATCCGATTAAAACATTTTATCAAATTTGTCTTCATTTCGTGCATTTAAAAATCTTGCAAGATCTGTATTGAAATGTGGAGTGATATTTTCTTTTCATCGATTTGGTGAACACATTGTGCTATTAATAAATTTTTTCGGCATTTAGATATCTCTGTTTGATTTCCAGATTTAATGGCGCCGGTTATGTAAAATATCAAAATCATAAAAAGGCCTGGAAAACGTCAGATTTTAAAAATTTTAAAAATGCAAAAATCGGATCGCGGAGCAAGTCAAACAACCTTCATTTGAAAGATTGAGAGATTCAAATTCAGAATTGTCACATAAATTCGTCTTCAAAACTATTGTTTGATATTTTGCTTTGTTGAAAAGAAATTTACTTGAGAATATAGGTAGTAATCATGGAAAACGACAAAAACGATGACATTTAAGAACGTCGCGGTGCAGTAGATAACGATGCAATTTTGTGTTTTACTCAGCAAAAATCCTGAATAAACCTTAAAAGAATCTTGGAAGAATGAAAAAATATGTCACACGCGAGTTGTGCATGTATGTACAAATAGTATAGGCAGTATTTAAATAACAGATACTCTGTATTAGATGAGGACAATCTATAGGGATATTTTTTAGAAATAATTATTGACACTATGTTTGACATTACTTGCCGTTAAGTGTGTTCCATATGTACAAAACAGGCATGTTGATTTTAAAAATAAGTAAATTGATTTCTGTTAAATTGAATAGAATGTAACTGCACACATAAACACAACAAATACGAGGGACGTTCAATAATGTTCAAAGAATAATGTCATTGGGGCTCGGAAAGAAACCAAAAAAAAGTTTTTCTATGATTTAGTCTTAATGATTAAACTAAAATATCCTTTTTAATTAAAACACATGTCTGTAACATTTTCATTCAATTTCTAATTGTTTTTAGAACACATTTTAGAGTTTCCTTCGTATACTGGAATATGGCAGATCCTATGATTTGCTGTACTTGGTTTTTTTTCTTTCTGAGAGATGATTTTCTAAGTTTGAGTATTTGAGTATTTGACCTTTGAGTTTTTAACTTTTTTACTATCAAATGTTTCTTTAAAACCGTGTGAACTACTCAAAATGATTTTTATTAATTTTGCTATGTGTCTTAAAGTCAATAAAACATAATCAGTGATAATTTGTTTTATTTTCGCAAATTTACATCGGTCGTTGTAAGTCATTGTTGTCAAGGACGGTATCCATTTTTGATGCCCATCATATAATTTTTGTTTATTGAAATCTACTTGTTTACGTGTCTATAAAACAGACATATGTTGCTGTAAATTTCACATATTTCAGTTTATATATTTTTTGGATATTAACAAGTTTTACAGCTGCTTTAATGAAGCTTTTAATTTTACTCTAGTTTACTGAATATTGACCATTCATTTTTCATGGAGTGTCTCGAATAGCCATTGTTTTCCAGCTTCCCACAATGAAATAATGCGATAAGAAGTGGTCACATAAACTGTTTCAATTCATTAAAGATTCAATAGTGAGAGAAAATCAAGCTTAATGTCCTATGACTTTTATTTTGTATGTCATCGGGCTAATGACATTATTTATTGAATGTCCCTCGTATTTTTATATATTATATTTGTGCTTATTTTAAATTTCTAGTGAGTAATATAACGAAGATTGACATCGATCAGGAACTTTCAAACAACCCTCGTACAAGTTTTTATCACCGCTTTTTTTTTTTTTTTTTTTTTAGATATTTAGTCAAAAAAATTGAAAATCTCGACATCAATTATTCATAATTGATAAGTTCTGAAACGGATTCATAGTCAGACTAGCATAATCTTTTTCCCCATGCTTACATTGTATCATAAAAAAATCTTTTTGATGATATGATGGAAAGTCGTATAAAAACCATTCGGTGTCAAGTCCTCATTGCTTATTATTATAAACTCTGAATGTCACTGTTTAAGGGAGAAATTAACATGATGAATTCAAAGCCCCATTACATGTATTAAGTATAATAAATGTATTATGCTCTTCAGTAGTCAGTGACAAAAAGTGTTAACATATTACATTAATGATTGTTATTAATAATAATTCTCATTAAAAACGTTTGCTATGTAAATAAATGCTATCTTAATAACATATGTAATTTCACTGTAAATGCAAAATTTATAGGAAAAGCTGAATAAATAATAAAACTCCAGTGTGTGTTTTTATTGAATAAGAATAAAAGTTGTAGCACTTTTCATGAATACAGGTTGAAATCGTTTCATCAGATATTGATGATGTCCCCATATTTTTGAACCGTTCTAGAATAGACATTTGAAACAAAGTTGCACATATCTTAGAAATTTGAAGTGATAATATGTCAATATATTATGTTTAATTATTTATATTACATGTATCAAGCGCATGTTGTTGATTTTTTTCTGAAGTTTCTCTTTTACATCAATGCATTTAAAATTATTTTTTCATTTCACTGTTCCTCTGTAATTCTTAGTTTATGTTTACTTTTCCTTAATACGTTATGTCACATATAATTATCTAAATACTTAAACATGAACATAACACATCAGCAGATTGCGTGAGGCTTTTAAGACCATTGTCGTGAATTTTAAAGAATTTTGCATTTTTCGTTTATTTAACAAGAATATAATATTTAATATGCATGTACCTTAATGCAAGCAATGTAACCATCTGTTGAAATATTGGTTTACATTTTTGTAAGACAGAAAGAGACCTTAACAAGACCTACATAAAATCAAGTTCTATTCTTTAAAAGTAGAGCTATTACATGTAAATGTAACCTGTGCATCTCTTCTGAATTAAGCTGCCATTTCAATTGTTTGTTTTTCATCTGTTTTGAAAGTATTTTGTACATAAGAAAAATATCCAATCATTTTTATGAAATGTGCATTAAATTTCAAAATATCAAATGTAAAGATAATTTAATATTACCCACTCTTCAATTATAATTATTTTCACTTATGCATTTATATTATCTTTACAAATTTTATCTTTATACATGTATGTACTTGTTCTTTTTTAAGTTTCAAAAGATTTATTAAATCATTTAATTTAAAATTTTAATTTCATGATAATAATTAAAATTTACATGTAACAATTACTGCTATTGGCAAATACTTTTGACTATTTTCTCTTTCTGTTTGAGAACAAAATATGTTCACCATGATAATAAACTTTCAGAAAAATTCCAGTTTCTGTAGATACATTTTCATGATATTTTACATCATAACACCTTACGTCTCCACAATGGCGCGACGGTGAGAGTCGCAGAGCAAGAATTTTAGTCCTTATGTCGAGGGATGAACCCCCACTGCAGGACTGGAGGACCAGTCATTTGGTTAAAACCGAGGTCCCGTGTCGCAGTAAGTACTGGCGCAAAATAAATTCGTCACTGAGTGCCTCCAGAAGAATGAAAACATTTCCAGACGGACGTTTTACATTATAAAAAAAACCCCAAAAAACCCAATACTTACATGCTTGTTATCTTTGTAGTTTTCATATGTTTTCTAATCAATTCCACAAAGTAACATAGTCTTCTGTTTCTTGTATACTATATGACTCAATTATCCTTTTTTAATCATTTATAACTTTTGAAAGCGTAAGCACTTTCATTAGAATTAAGCTAAATAACTGTATATTATTTTTTTAAAGAAATTAGTTCTTACATGTGTTAGCGTTGACAAAATGAAATTCATATAAATGGTACCTACATGCAATGTTTCTAAACTTTTGTGTTAATATTAGTTAAAAGTAATCGACACATAATAAATGACGGTAAAATTATGGCAGTATATTTCCATCCAAAGGTTATCACAAAATCACGTGGCTTAAAACACATTTATTTTTTTCATAAAAGAAGCAACGATTTTGTATTCGTCTCACTAGATCAAATTGGCAATGTTAGTGTTAGTTTGCCTTTGTTTGCTGTATTTTAGTACAGTAGACGGGGTAGGCTATGTTGGTGTCAGACCTTCTTCACGTAATAAATGCTATTACGAAAATATCAAGGACGCTCATTTTAGTTACGATAGAAAGGATTTCTGTGAAGGTAAGATTTGGATTAATTGGAATGGATTTAAATGTTAGATTAATTTAGGGAACTTGTTTTGAAATAATTTAAGAAACCTGAAAATATAGAACGAAAGCTATTCAATACTTTTTTTGATGAATTGTCGTCCGCGTAGCAGATTTCTGTGAGGGTAAGATTAGGATTTATTGGAATGTATTTTTAAAACAATGTTAAATTGATTTAGGGAACTTGTAATTTAAGAAACCTGTAAATATATTAGGTAATAAATACTTTCTTTTGAAGAATTGTTGCCCACCTTGCGCAGTGGATAGAGTGTCTGCTCTAGAGTCGCTAAGTAAGGAGATGATCCTTACGTCGCGGGTTCGAATCCCACTGTGGGACGTGGAGACCTGTTCTTCGGATGAGACCGTATAAACTGAGTTCCCGTGCATGCTTTGATCAGAGGTTTGATGTAGAGTAGACCGTAACGATAGCTCAGTCGGCAGACCGCTCACTCCGTGATCGGAATTTCAAGAGTTTGAATATCCGTCGCGTCTAGCCTAAATCAATAGAACGGGAAGCAACACTATCTCTTTGCCAGGCGCTGATGGGTTCTTTGAAGTGAAAGATGCCAGTCCATTGGATGGAATCTTAAATACCAAAACCCCGTGTCAAGATAGGCGTTGCCAGGATAACCCCCCCCCCCACACACACACACACTGATGAATGTTTTTGAGAGCCGAAAAATCTTTATATGAAAGAAAATTTAGGTATGGAACGTGAAACAACATACAATAAATCACTTAATCAAATTAGCGTTCATGCTTCTTAAGAAAAACATATTTAGGGACAACGTGTGTAGAACATCAAAGAATGTTTATGCGTGTCTATTTTTTAACATCATATCTCTTTCGGGAAGTTTTCATTTATATGGAGATGCTACTACTTGTCGTTAGAGGACTACAAATTTGAACTATTTTGCCACCCAGCAGAACTTTATCTTTTTGTGCAAAAACCTACTGCAACATGGATTCTGAAACTCGGTTTATATGGTCTTATCCGAAGGACCTGTCACCATGTCCTGCGATGGGATTAAAACTCGCGACGTAAGGATCACCTTCTTATTCAGCCACTTCAGAGCATAATTATTATGCTATTGTACTGTGCCACGCAGACAATTATCAGTCAACTTAAAATATTTACATCTGCAAATATTTTTCTTATATGAATCTATTAAAGAGAAAATATGTTCAATTCTGTATGAATTTATTAGGGATTCAGAGGTTATAGCATGACCGAAAAACAGAGCGAGATGATATTTTGTCGACATATTTCTCCTCAGGGACCTGGATTTTTATCAATCAGTCACTCGAAGAGCCAAATATCAAAACAAAATACTAGGGGTAGAATTTAGACAAATAGCCAAAAAGTCAGGTGCCTCTGATTTATGTCAGAGCTGCAACTAGTTTTTGAACTTCTAAGTTAATAGTGATGGAAAAAATGAAATGATTGGAAATGATGTTAGGGAGCGCTAAGACGGGAGAGCCCACCGCTTTTGAATTCAAATATATGTGCATATTAAAAATTCATAAAAATGGAGATTATTCACAGTATCCATCTTTTTTTTCATTATATATGTAAACAGAGAATTTCTGAACTGAACATAAATTCAGATACATGTACATGTATTCAATTGTTCGGGCTTCACAGGATTTGATCATGTGATCAGAGTAGTTAATTTCCCAGCGTACATTTTGTTTTTTTATTTTAGGTCCTTTTAAATGGTGCAATGTAAACAAATGTTGGACAACCTGTGGCTCGAAAGAAAGACAGTCGCCCATCAACATAAAAACAAAAAAGGCAAGGTCCTTAAATCGGTACCGTGGATACATTGTGTTAAAGGGTTTTGATACAAGAGTGAATGCCAAAATCTACAATAATGGTATCAGATACTGACAATTTTTATTAACATTAAAATGTTTACGATGCAGCAACATGATTAAAAACGTGTTGCACTAAACAAAATTAATAATTGTGTTTTTGTCGTTTGCTTTGTATTTCTTATTGGATTAACTGGTACAATGTAAAAAAAATTATGATTAACACACAGCTTGGTATATACAAAATTATATTAATATATATCCATTGAATTTTCTTAATTTAACAATTCTAGATACATGTAGCTTGTAAAGTAAATGCACTGTTCATAATTTTTATCCGCTATTGAAGATTCTATAAGACCTGTTAACATTAGAAAATCACGTGAACGTTTCACTAATAAGCAAACAATCTCCGTTTTCTTTAATTCAAAAGGACATGCACCGCACTTCGAAGTGAATAAAGAAGAACGAAGAAAAATAACTCTTACGCATGTTCCTTTTAGAAGACATAGAACATACAACTTCGAACAGCTGCACATTCATGTTGGCAAAAAGAGGAGTAAAGGTTCAGAACACTCTATAAACAACAAATTTTATCCCATGGAGGTATGACAAGGATTTTTCTTGTTAGTCCTAAATACAACAACAAAAGATTCTGAATTTCATTTCCGTTTACATGTCTTAGCAATTGAATGTAGAACAAAATCTTTTATTCAAATTAGAGGAATAACGGTTAAAGCGCTAGATGCATAAGATTATCGTTTATGTAAAAAAAAAATATATAAAACCATGTCAACGGTTGTTTCTTTATATTGTACAGATGGGTAGTTATTTCTCTTTTAATGCATGAAATGGATTTTATGTTATGATATGTTTTCCTTTCAGGCTCACTTAGTGTTTTATGACAGGAGGTACAAAAACATAACATACGCTAAATTCAGGCCAGAAGGATTGGTTGTCCTATCCGTAATGATCAAAGTAAGTACATTCATCTAAAGATTTCTGGCATTTAGCATTTAAAACGTGGAAAAACAGTATGTCAAAATATAAAGATAAAATTAATTGTTACGATACACAATTAAGAGAATATATTTGTGAATGTTATTCTGGTTTTACTATACAGTTGTAAAAAACATTTTAAATTCATTTTCAGTTGAAATAATATATCATCTATCATGTTTCAAGGTAGAACATGATAATGACAACAATAAAGAGGAAGAAGATGAACAAGGGCATATAAGAGACGATAAAGATGTTTGTAAAATAATATTATTAAATTAGTAATCCATAAAAACAATATTTAGGGAATTTGTAGAAATTATGTTTGGTCCAATTATTGGTTTGAAGTATATACCAGGTAAAAGGAGGAGGGGGTATCATGATAGGACTTCTCATAGCTTTTGTCTTTTGAAGAAGATATGTCAAGATTGTTAACAATCCTCTTATTTGTCTCAACATTTAAAAATTCGTTAAAATTTAGATAAGTTTTACTTATTTAAATGACTAATTATGAATTCGCTACATTTGAAAAAATCTCATGCGAAACAAGCTGAGGAAGCCTCCACATGTTTGCCGATTATTAGTTTAAAAACAACCGAAAATTTTTCACTCATAATCAGATGCATCTACGTACATGTACATGCATATACATCTGGTGAAAAGCTTCGAATTTAGATTTGAACTAAGACCTTAGGGCCAGTAAGCAGTAAGAGATTTATTGTTTTGTTCTTGCACTTACTTTGACATGGTACCTCTGTTTATACTTACGGTCTTATCGGAATGACCTATTTGAGCCTGATACAAACAACATAAGATTTAACACCCTACACCACGACTCTGAAGTAAAAGTTTTAACCATATTGCTAGGGGCGTCCATCTTTAAAGATAAAATTAAAAATACATGTAGTTGCCTGATGTGGCTCTTCATACCCTCAGGATTATGATTTGAATAAACTTGAATCTATTCTACCTGAGGACGTTTCCATATGAATATGAATCCTTTAAGAACATATGTCAAGATCTTTCCTTTCTTTTCCTTTATTAAGTTCTTCATTTCCCTATTCAGCCTTATCTCCCCTTAAGATTAACCAATTTGAATCCACATTGTACAGGAGAATGTTCCCTACAAAATGACTTAATATTAAATTTTTATTCTTGACAAGGAGCTTGTTTAAAAGAAGTTTTCCTATATAGTCCAATGAAAGGCTTTCATCGACTGTTAAACTCGCGCTCTAACCCAGCCAGGGGAATAGCTTCGTAAAAATGGTAATAAAGCTTTTTTCACTCTTCTTTCTTTTGACCTTTCCGAGATGTATTGAGAAGAGGTTTAAAACTTCCCCATCAAATTTACACTGGTTATTTATAATCTAGGTTCTCCCTCCTGATATGAGTGTATGCACGTGTTGCTTAATTAAAACGTTTGACTTTGAATTCTTTTAAGTCGAAAATTGACCAAGTGGTTCTGGAAAAAATACAAAAGTTAACGACAATGGATAATTTTTTTAAAAGCCTGTTTGAGTCTTCAGCTCATGATCAGGTGAGCTAGATGCATTTTGCTTTCCAATATTCTTTGTTTACACACATCAATTCATAGGAAACTGCTTTTTTAAAGATTTGTAACAAAGGGCTCGACGAGGACTATGCACGTTATTACGAAAGGAGACGCTACAAAGGGGTATTGTAAAACTTTCACTTGTTCAAATGTTTACAATGTTTTTTTTTTTTTTGTTTTTTTTTTGTAAAAGTAGTTGTTAAATCGAAAATCTTTCTTTATTTTTGCATATATAGATTCATAATATGCTAATTTATAAACATTTTTTATTCAGCATCGGCGTTGTAAAGTGAGGTTTGCTAAAACACTGAGTGAAATGATGACTACATACTACAGGAAAATAAGGATGTATAATGGTAAAGGATATACAATAGAGACACGAGAAACACGTGAGTCATGTTATATGTATGTACGTGTATAAAATATCAAATAACATTTATTATGATGATTAAAAAATAATCTGCAGAGAATGTTAATTACAAAGTTAAAACTATTCTTTCTTTATCATCAGTATAGATTGTCTGTTTCATAAAAAAGTTTACTTACAGTAATGTTGCATGGATTATTTTTATTTTGTCAAACAGCTTAAAGGTTCTATTTGCATACAATTTCTGTGTGAACAGAAAAGTAACATTTTTGTAGAACCGCCATGTCATCCAGAGAAACTTCAACAAAGTTTCATCAAAGAACACTGCATAATGAAAGTTGGTTCTTCACATGCGAAAATCCCAGTTTGTGGAATATCACCTCTAGATGTCCTCCCCTACGACCGTAGATTTTATACCTATAAGGGATCGTTAACCACACCCCCATGTTTTGAAACTGTACAATGGATAGTTCATAAATGCCCAATAAAAGTAACACGCGAGGTAAGAAATTAGACTTTCCTTTAAATGAATTTAACTACCCATTTTAATAAATATAAAATCTTAAGTTTAAAAAAATATATTCCATACCCAGTTATTTCTTGTATTATTCTTTTAAAAACATTGCTTATGATTTAATTTTTGGTAATTTGATGTCAATGGAAGCAAATTGTTCTTTAAAATGTTATATTAAAAATTTGAATGCATTTCTAAGGATTTCATACATTTTAGACGCAAGTCATTGTGACGTAGGCAACCCATTTTATACGATATTAAGTAATTTTTTTATCCAATCAAATACAGTGTTACAACCAGAATTAAATTATTTCATAATAGAAAAAAACTAAAAGTTTAAGTAAAGAAATCTAAAGTTTATAAAAAAAATATAATATATCTAATGTTTCTTGTGTTATTCTTTTAAAAGCATTCTTCTTTGTATACAATTCAAATCAACAGAAGCACATTATCTTTGAAACCGTTATATTAAAACAAATGCAATTCTAGGCATTTCAAGCACTAAGGAATGTTCAGGATTCTCACCTTGATCCGCTGTCAGACATGGGAATAAGAAGACCACAACAGGTTAGTGTAAAGCTCTATAAACTAGAAATGAGAGTAATTGTGTATATGGACAGAAAAGTACAATAGTAAACAAAATTATCTTATTTAGGAATTATTCCGATTAATGCCAGATGTGCTTAAAAATATCACTACGATTTAATGCACTAAAATGATACAAAGATATTAAAAAAACTCGAGAAACAAAAAATAGAATTGAAATATGTTTTTAATCAGAAGAGATTTGGTGCTTATGGCATAAAAAGCATAAGTTTTATTTTAAAAAGAAAACAATTCTAACACTCTCAGTATATAAATCAAGGTTATACTTACACGAGTATTTACATATTGGAAGTAAAGTAGAAGTGTTAATATAGTGATTCTTTTAGATAATTTCTCGATGTGATGGTATATTTATGGAATAGTTGTCTAATTTTTCGGTTCTCTGATGTGATCAATCAAGTGACGTGCTTGATAATTTGCCGAAGGCGTTCATGCATATAATTATTATCCAAGCCAATCGATTGATCATCGTCATGAAACAAAAAAAATCTGACAGTTATTTCTTATATTTACATGCTCTTGATTCCGCAAATTTACGTGCTACAAGTCCTGCTTCTGTCTCTATTTGCATGTCTCGGCCTGCACGTGATTTGTTTTAACCGCGCCTATCGATGATTAGGTGATTTATGAGGATCAGACGGTTATTGAAAACTAAAGTATTTTAAATCAATCATTTATCAGATCAGAAACACGTATCAAATCTTATTCATCATGTCTGGCTGTAGAATGAATTACTTGTTTAGACCGCATCATGTGTCGTCTTTTGCAGTATAAACACTGTAAATATATCAATTGCAAATGTTTTTTATAGCTAAATATTCCACGGACCTCCATCACACATTAAACAACGTGATTTTAGTCAGTAAAACAAGAACATGATTTTGTTATTTATATTCATTTTAATATTAATATTATGTACCTCAAATAAGATATATAGTCCTTCAAAGTAATAAAAATAAACATTAAGCTAACTTTAAGGAAACATGATATGCACATGTATATCATACATGTATACATGTATTGTATGTTCATATAAGTTAAAGTATTTTTTCTTCAGAGAAATAAACATCCTGTCTTCAAAAACTTCTAGTAAGATTGAAGCACACCAGAGGTATCATCGGCCTGGTGGATACATGTACCTCAAGAAAACACATTACTTTTTTTTAACTTATCCATGATCACATAATTGCAGTTTCTAGTAATTTTAAAATTATTTAGAAATGAGTGAATTGTTAATACACAGAACTTGTAAATAGATGTTGTTTACTCCTTTTTTAATTAAAAGACAATAAATTGTTTTGTTTTGTTTTTTTTCATTTTGTTTTATTGTCATTTTTACTCTTCTGATATTATAGAAGGCAAGTTGTTAGCTAATGCAGCATTTGCTTATTTGTATGTTGATCTACTATATGCAAATGTTCATATATATTCGTGTTTGTTCTCTTTGGGTTTATGTTTGTTTGTTATTTACAATGATTACTTTTTGTTTTTTTGTTAAAAACAATGGAATTTTTTTTTAAAGAATATTCATTAAATTACATGGCGAAATGTGCATATGAAACACAAAATACATTTTAAAATGCAAAAAAATCCCATCTATTTCTTTCGATTTTTACTTCTGTTTTTTCTTTTAATTTAATTTTTTATATATATTTTCTCCCTGTTTCTCTTTGTACCATGGATTCTTCACAATCGTCAACATAAATTTCTGTTAGAAAAGCGCTTCTTTAATTCAAAACATTGAGGAATTTATTTTTTATATTTGCTCAAATCTTAATTGCATATCTTAAGATTTTTATACTTTATAAAATGTATGATATGGGCTTCCTTTTTTAAAGAAGAAGCTACATATATTTAAACAACAAAACAAGGACCTGTCAAAGGTTTCCCTGTAAATTCAAAATCTGCATCAGTGCAATATTTGATAATATTGTTTGATTTTTGAAAAGACATCAAAAAATTTTAATGGTTAACTTTTTAAGTATTTCTAAAGATTAGTTTACTTATCTTTCTCTTTTTACCATTTGCTTTCGTACTATTAGTTCCCTTGTGTTAAGGTCAAGATCAAGAAAATGACTTTAATCTAAGTTTTTGTGTGAGATCCATTATGACGTCATAATCAATTTCATATTTCTTTTTCCCGTACTTTACGACTCAAATAGAATTATGTACAACATAAAGTATTTTCATTGAATTCAATTTGAAATCATTTGAAAAGTTATCCCGATACCTATATTTAGGCCTTTCAACTGCCGCTAGGGTTCCCTGTTAGGGACGATAACTCGTTGCTGAAACTTGTTGAGAGCAGGTCCGAGGTTTCTAACTGTTTATACGCAAGTCAGTTTTTAGCATTTCCCAAGTGTGTGTTTTTTTTTTTTTTTTTTTTTTTTTTTTTTGCTGTCCATAGAATCCAGTGGTTTTAAAATTTAGCACTAATGTTAAATGTATTTACTATATATAGTTGTGGACACCGTTTAAGGTCAGAAGAGACGTTACTCAATATCTGTTTTGTATATCTTCGTAATGTATGAAATATATTCAAAATCTTAATAACATTCTGATTTCTAAACCAGTTTCTAAACGTTTTTACAAAACACTTAAACATTTGAAATTGGAAAATTATTTTTCTTCCCAAAAGAATTCTAGAAGGAACACTTACCCCTGGTATCTTGCAGAATTGCCTGGTAAGGTACCTCAATTTTTTGTGAGTAAACATGTTTAAGTAGCAATACTTCAATGACAAAATCCATGAAAAGATTGTCTATTATTAAGGAACGTCTCGTCTGACCTTAATTAGATATAAATAAAATTTTAAATTAAAATAAAAAGTTAAATCTACCCTCCTAGCTAGGTAACACAAATACGATAATTAATTGTTGCATTTACTTATATATATATATATATATATATATATATATAGCACTAAAAATGACCAACGACACGAACAATAAAAATTGTCAAATTTTCGGACCCCTGTCCCTTCCTCAGGACAAAGAAAAAAGTTAAAAAGTCATAAGAACAAAGGAAAAATAGAAACAAAAACAACTAGCACTACTACTAAACTACTAAACACTAGATATTTTAGTATTTTAGTAGTTTAGTAGTAGTGCTAGTTGTTTTTGTTTCTATTTTTCCTTTGTTCTTATGACTTTTTAACTTTTTTCTTTGTCCTGAGGAAGGGACAGGGCGTCCCGAAAATTTGACAATTTTTATTGTTGTGTTGTTGGTCATTTTTAGTGCTTTATATAAATTTCCATCCGTGACCTTGTATCTACTTGGTAGATCCGACATTTAGGATATACAGTGTTGTTGGTTTTTTAGTGCTTTATATATATATATATATATATATATATATATATATATATATATATATATATATATATATATATATATATATATATATATATATATATATATATATATATATATATATATATAATATATATGACAGTTAAAAAACTTGATTGTAAAGCATCTGAAGATTTTTAAATGAAAGCGCTTATGCTTTACTTTGTTGTCTTCGTGTTTTCTTTTTAATTATTTTTACTATATATACTTACATATTTACTATATATATATATATATATATATATATATATATATATATATATATATATATATATATATATATATTTATATAGGAAGCGCAAAAGTGCGCACAAAATCATGTCAATTTATTTTAAATATAGTCTGTTCTCCATTCATTTGACCCTGTTATTTCAGGTAGAGTGAAGACATTCTCCTTCTTTTGGCCAATGCTTTTGTGTACAAAACAATGTAATGAACCCTTTTGTGTACATAAGAATACCAATGTTGAAGTAGCCTATATGTCATTTCTGTAAACGATAACTTAAAAATCGGCACTTAGTTTGTCATTTTTAGCACGTGAGTTCCCTGTCTTTAAAACACAACATCGTACAATTCATTTATAAATAATAAAACTCTTAAAGATTCAATTAAATGCATACATAAATTCTAATCTTTTTTGATAATTTCATGTATCTATAAATCTATTAATGAAATGCTTTTTACTATATGTGCAACTTATAAAATTAGTTGAAAGGCCTACTATCGGCTGACTACCATATTCAAATGCCGCCTCAGACAGTCATTTGCAAACATGTAATGTTAAAAAACTAAGGGTATTGGGTAATGGCCACCTTAAAAAATTGCTCACTCAGCAGCTGCCTCAGACAGTCTGCCTAGATAATACAAAAATTGTCAACTTACTCTTAAATCAACTGCGTTTAGAATCCAAGCTAGTTCCGTTTACGCAATTTTTCATTTACGTTATATCATAATCAGCTGCCTCAGACAGTCCAATTATAAAGTAAAAGCCAATTGTACCATAGCAAAGTCAACATATTAACTTTCTACAATGTGAATCACACACAATTAACGGGCGAAATTTCTACGGTGTCGAAAACTGGTATTCTAAAGTATCGCCGGACAGCACTAGAATTCCAGCGACCCATTAAACGAATTTTATCCTCAGGAATTTTGCAGTTAAAAGCATAAGATGCTGCTCCGATACGAAAACTGTGTGATTTGTACTTAGTTGTGTCAAGACCCACAAATGATATTGCATTTCTTAGTTCATTTGTAAAGTAAGCCTGACTAATTGGTTTTTGACCATCAAAACTGAATAAAGGACCCTGACATTTACTTCTGACTGATAAATATTTTTGCATAGCTTTTACTGGACATATACTTTTACAAGTCTGAGCTGCTATTTGCAAAGACACGGGTCTACCTGAGTCATGATGTTTGAAATGTCTGAGTGTTAATGTCATAGATTTAGTTCCCCCTCTTACTGGATCAATAGACAAGTTTTGAAGAAGAACAAGATTTCTATTTGAATTCTTCTGAGATTTCACAGTTACTTCACCTACCCGCAGGAATGCAAAGAAACAGAGTGTAAACATGGCTGTCAGAAGGCGTCTGTTAAACTTCCCAGACACTGTGTGTTTAAGCGCATGTACTATCTTGACAAGAATATGAGGTGTTATTGGTAAACGGATATCTGGTGCATTGGATAAATGCTGAGCTCCTTTAAGGAGCTTTTTGATGACAAAAAACTGAGTTGGGTCAGAAAGGCCATGTATTTTGTGATAGTAAGAAATACCTGCAATGTAGGTATTTATCGTATTGTAGGATTTTTTATGTTGGTATAACCATGCTATAAAAGACATAATGTGATTCAACTGAGCTGGAAATGTTGGACTTGAGCTGAAATTTTTCCAAAAGAATTTATGATAAGCATTTAAAGCAACCTCGTATGACACCTGGGTATTTTTTGACATTGCAGCATCAAGTAGTTTTGATGTCGACTTTACTAAATGCGTAGGTACTCCTGAGGGATGTTCACTGGGCACTTGTCCATGTAAGGTGCCAACTCCTTGAATTTTTCTACCTGCAAACGCGAAAGTAAGTCAGGTAAAATATTATCTTTTCCAGGAATATGCTCAGATTTGAATAAAATATTAAATCTCAAGCAAGCTAGAACCAGTCTTCTGACTAAGGACATAACTGATGGTTCTTTTGAAGAAAGTCTATTAATAATGTTGACGACTGCCATATTATCTGAATGAAACAATATAGAACAGTTAGCCAAGGTTTCTCCCCAGATTTCAATGGCAACCACAATTGGAAAAAGTTCCTTGAATGTTATATTGCGATCTTGAAGGTTTATGTTCTCCCAACTTCCAAAAAACCATTTTTTACCTAAGATAGCCCCGTAACCTAAGCTTCCTGCTGCATCGGTATACAGATGAAGTTTTTGGGAATTTTGCCATTGATCGTCTAGAAAGATTGACTTGCCATTAAAATTGTCTATGAAAGTTTCCCAAGCTAACAAATCCAACCTTGCTTGCTTATTTAGACGAATCCTATGATGGGGCTTTTTTACACCTACTGTTAAATTGATGAGACGACGCAAAAATGCACGCCCTGGTACTACAACACAGCAAGCAAAATTTAACAGCCCAATCAAAGATTGAACTTCACGAAGTTTCATTTTTTTGCGATTTTTGGCTAGTTTAACTGCCTCGCGGATTTTTTGGACTCTATCTTGGGGTAATCTAGCTTCCCACTTCACTGTATCTAGTTGTATTCCCAAGAAAACTATCTCTGTAGAAGGGCCCTCAGTTTTTTCTGATTTAATTGGAACCCCCAACACTTCACACAAAGATATAAACTGCTGTAATGCTAGACCACATATTGAAGAGTCCCTGGGCCCTATAAATAAGAAATCATCTAATATATGCAACATGTTAGGGACTCCAAACTTGTTGCAAGCTATCCACTGCAATGCTGTACTGAAAGTTTCAAAAATGGAGCATGATATTGAGCAACCCATGGGAAGACATTTATCAAAATAAAACTTATTTTGAAACTGAATACCTAGTAACTCATGGTCAAGTGAGTGAACAGGTATTATCCGAAAAGCAGAAGCAATGTCAGTTTTTGCAAGAAGGCAATCACGACCGATCTGTCTTATCAATTTGATAGCATCATCGATTGTTGTATAGGAAACAGAGCATAATTCGTCAGGTATAAAGTCGTTAACTGAATGCCCGTCAGGAAATGACAAATGCTGAATCATTCTAAATTCATTAGCTTCTTTTTTGGGAACCAGACCTATTGGTGAACACTGCATATTAGCAAAAGGAGGAGCGTCAAATGGGCCAGCAATTCTGCCAAGTGAAATTTCCTTGTTTAATTTTTCTAATGTTATATTTGGAAGAGTTTTGGCCGATAGCAAATTGGAAGAAAAACGTGGTTGCCTTGGACCCTCATAACCTAATCTAAATCCTTTTTCAAAACCTTCACATAAGAATTCTTTCAAATTTTGATGATACCCTTCTAATAGCTGTTTCAAAATAGTTGTCCGAACTGGAGTAACAACATAACTATTTGTTTGCAGGGGTAGATGATGAGTTTGAACTTGAAGGGTAGGTTGATGAGCTGCTGTTTGTGGCTGACTGATTACCTCTTGGGCATTGAACGACTGAGTGACTTTTCTTACACTGGTAACATGTGTGTTTGTATTGACAGTTGTTCTGATAGCATTTTCCATTCCTGTGAAATGCATAGCAGAACCCAGGTGGTGTTTTCCTACTTTTTGGGGGCCCCCCTCTTCTTTGAAAGTTTTTGCCTCGAAAATTGTTTTGGAAATTCTGATGAAAATTTCGAGATGTGGTGGCCATAACCCAATATTCATAATGTAACTGTCCCCAAGGGATAGATCTCGCCTCAATGTCTTTACGTACTTGTTTATCATATGTCATCCATGACAATCCAGCATGCCTATTTGCCAGTTCTCTGACAATTTCTCCATGTTTAATAACTGATGCAACTTGTTTTGGAAATTTTTCTGAATAGATTGCCAGAAATTTGAGGAAAGCTGTTGTCCATTGATCTATGGACTTAATAACAGTTTTTGATTTTGCTGAAAGTAATTTTAATTCAGAATTGCCTGTACTTTTAATTTTAACCGACCTGTCTGAGGCGACATCATCCCTTGGCAAAAGTTTACTAAAGTCAATATATTTATTTTGCCATATTTTGTTCTTAATTTTTGATTCAATTTGTGCGGATATGGGCGTTGATAGTAAATAACTGTCATCGTTATCAGACTCCTCCGATGAGGAATCATCAGTACTTGTATTTGCACCTGGGGAACTTTCACCACTAGATTCATCTGAATCAGAGTTGGTACCTGAAGAGGAATTTGATCTGTCAGGTGACGCCATTCTTCTCCTCTTTTTCTTTGGCTCTCTGTGCCTTTTCCTGCCTCTAGAACCATTTTCCACCACTTGTTGGGTTTCCTGATTGTTCTTGATTGCTTCCAGGACTTTGTCGGTCACCGCCGCCACCAGTTGGTCCTGAGCAGACGTTTCGGTCGGTTCCGCAGCCTGTTCTGCTGACCCTGCTGCCGCTGGCTTCTTCTGAGTCCGCCTCCCTCTTGGTTGGCGTCTGAGTTCGCTCATCTGCAATTGGTTATCAAAATGATATTCGTAAATAAAATATATTTTATTCTTAACCACAGCTCTGGTTGATAAATTAGGCTTCATTAGTAAATACTGTATTTATCAAACACATGTATTGTGCCACAATAACTTCATTGACTATGTAAAAACATAGCATTAATGTGTAAAAATTATTATATATAAGTACTTTCATCATGCAATACAAGCATGTATGTAAATTCACTTATAATCTTCATTTTAGTTCATTTCCATGAACATATTCACTGTGGACTTGATAAAATTACTTATCAAAAGCAACTATAAACAGGAATGCCATAATTAAGCACTCAAAATTTTAAACTTGCCCACCAACCATATAGGTGCATAATACTTTTGTAACTTTTATCAATTGTCAGTGTTCCCCAACCATATAGGGGTAAACAATTTTCATCGCAAGATACACATGATAAAACATTCAGGCCCCAACCATATAGGAGCCCCAAAAAAATATGTGCCATGAAAACTTCAGCATTGTTTGTGATTACATAATTTTAATCACCCATAGTCTTATTACACGTCCTATTAGGTGTAACAATCCAACTTGAATCACAAATAATTTAATTTATGAGAATCATCCTGATGATAATCAAGTAGAGGAAGAAACCCCAACTATATAGGAGCATGGATATGAACAGAAAACCCCAACCGTATAGGGGCATAATCATAACTTAGCTGTAACTTAACTGAGAAACTCAGCATATCTCTTAAGGCACATATTCATATACTTCAATCAACATAAAAGATACTGCCATATCTATAGAGCATATGTCATTAAGTCCCCAACCATATAGGGGCACAATCATAAACCTGTATTCACAATTAGGCAACAGCGCATAACCCCACGATATATACATGTATTACTGAACCTTTTTTGAGAAGCCCCAAAGATAAAGGGGGGCAGATTTTTATAAACCCACATTATATATAGACATAATAATAACTTATAATTACTATAAAGAAATCAAGCATGATCATTTATGTACTGTGCCATATGATTATGAAATATTCAGAGTTAGAAAATATGTCCCAACCATATAGGGACACATATTATAAAGCAGGAAGAAGCACAAGCATACTCCTTGAAAAAACTGTGGTGGGGGAATAATAAATACAAACTCCAAACAGTTAGCCAGGATATCCTGAAAACCCCAACCCTATAGGGGTAAGATAATATGTTATACAAACTCCAAACAGTTAGCCAGGATATTTTGAAAACCCCAACCATATAGGGGTAAGATAATATGTTGTTCATATCCAAAAAACATCCGGTAGAAATAGTGTAAAATAATTAATTCATATATAAAAACAAAAACCCCAACCATATAGGGGTATGCACAAATAGGACATATCTAACGGATGCATCACACCTATATAAAGTGATATTAATCGTCTTAAGATAAAACCGTGAATATATATAATAAATGGAGCAAATAAAGACCAATGGATTATTAATATGATTAAAAAACCTAACCCTAACCATAGGGGTAATATTATTGTAATTCGCCACGACTATTTACCCCAACCATATAGGGGAACAACAATTCAAAGTTTTGGGATCTTACTCTAACGAGACAATATTGTAAGCCCTGTATTGAATAGCAATAGAAAGCCTTTATGCTGTTTACAAGTATATTCAAAGATGTATTTAGCTCTACCTTTGAGAGATTTTAAAACAAAATGTAAACCATAGGCCCAACTGACTAAATTGGACTGCCATGTGTATTCAATTATCCGCCTGTGTTTCAATACAAAATAAATACCCACCATATGTTATGGTTTTAATTGAAGAAACTACTGCTGCTCGCAAATTATTATAATATTTCTTCAGTCCTTGCGGATTCAAGTGAACACCATCATTAGAAAACACCATGTCCTGACTTGCAGGGGACCAGAAACCTGATAAGCGGAAAAATTTTGATCCATCCACATTACATAAATAGGATGATAATCTCAGATTAAGTTCATCTACTCTGTCATTGAACCAAGTAGTATCCACTTCATAGCGTATGCGGTAAGTGGGGGGTCTTCTGTGTAAAGTTTGTAGAACTACAACATGTTTCACTGATTCTGCATAACGAAGGGATATAATAAAGTCAATCAATTGTTTGAAGACATCTGCTACTGATTTCGTAGGATCGCAGAGGTCATTTGATACGGCTTGCAATACCACCACATCTGGATGAATCAGTCTTACGTAACGCAGACCTTGCGCCCTAATCTTTGACAATGTCGCTCCCCTAAATCCTGCATATGAAACGTGAACGGTCTCCAAACTTAAGTTCAAATTTTTTGTCACACGATTATCCGTAGAATTACTTACAAATTCTTCCAATCTACTGACAAATGAATGTCCTAACACTATCAGTTTCATAACCATGATGAGGGCGAGTTACGTAATCGTTTGTACGCATCCACAACTTCTAAAAACAACGTTCTTTCCATTAAAGAAAATTAAGGAGAATGTACTTACGATGCACCGTCAAATGCTAGCAATTGTCTTGCATAAGAATTTTAGACACAAAGCAAGGAAATATCATACAAATCCAAAAAATTTCTGCACATTAAAACAGTGGCTACATTGGTTCAGTAAACAAATATCACGTGATCAATATGAAGATAGATTACAAAACCATAATGGGAAAAATTTGTTATTCCGGAAAAAATTGGAAATTTTTTTAACAGTTATCGAGATGCTATAAATTACTTTATGTTTTCACATAAATACAAGTATTTTTTGACGTTATTTTGGTGGGACTTGCTATTGACCCGCTTATAAGTCAGTACAACTTTTTGGCAAAATCTGGTGACAATTTCAAGTAAATCCAGTGATGTTTTTAATCTGGTTTCAATTAATATTTTTCGAAATGATGAAATATATTCAATTTAATATTATTTTTGTATCTAGAAGGCCATGAGGAAGAGTAGTGTGTCACTCTAATCAGGCCAACTTACCAACTTTCTAAATAAATTATTAATATTCTTATCATTATTATCAACATCATCATCATTATGAGAAGAGGCCAAGAACATACAAATTAAAGTTTTCCGAAAAATTGTAGGCAATCTGGATACATTTCTTTTGTCTGATATGGAAAAGAATCCTGCATTCATGACTGGTTTTCTTAACATTTTATTGAAAATATTGTTCATATTATGTTTTTCGTCTTGTTTCTCTACAAATTATGCCCCAAAACATCTGATATAATCAAGTTAAATTTATAAAGCATCACTTAAATAGTTTCTTTCTCAAATTTAAGAAATCTTTAGGTAACTTTTATTTACTAGATTTTGACCTTAACAGTATATTTGGAATCTTATGTATTTTACTTGATATTCAAAGTTCAACAATATTTAAGAACGTTACACAAAAGAGCGTGAAATTTTATAGACGAGTATTTGTCATTAATT